TGTTATTGATGCTACAATGTTCAATCCTTGTGGGTATTCAATGAATGGGATGAAATCGGATGTAAGTTATACACTCATTAATAATTAACATTGGTAAATAAAATAAATAAATATTTGGTGATAATACCTTTTTTTTTTTTCAGGGAACTTACTGGACTATTCACATCACTCCAGAACCAGAGTTTTCTTATGTTAGTTTTGAAACAAACATAAGTCAGACCTCTTACGATGACCTGATTAGAAAAGTTGTAGAGGTCTTCAAGCCAGGAAAATTTGTGACAACTCTCTTTGTCAATCAGGTGAGTTTTCTTGCATTAGCTTATTGGCTGATGAGATACATACAGAACAAATGAAGCAAGGCTAGAGATTATCACTGGAGATTAAGTTTCCAGTTTGCCTGGAAAAGTAAAAGTTTGAAAAGCAAAAATACCCTTCAGTCTTGCTTTGGCATGTACTAAATCTGATCTTCAGAAAACTTCAGAAACAGCAAGATTTGGCATCCCAGTCCAAGAATTCTAATGATTCCTGTGTAGTTCTGTGTAGGCATAATTTCTTGCTTTGGCATTTTTTCTCAATTTGTCTGCAACTGTCAGTTGCAGAATACCTGTTGTTAATGGTGTTGCTCTCAGCTAATCAGAGAACCACAAAATTATTTGGGTTGGAAGGGACCTTAAAGATTATCTAGTTCCAACCCCCTGCAGTGGACAGAGGCACTTTCCACTAGACCAGGTTGCTCAAAGCCCCATCCAGCCCGGCCTTGAACAGTGCCAGGGATGGGACATCCACAACTTCTCTGGACAACCTGTTCCAGTGTCTCACCACCCTCACAATGAAGATGGGTTTGGTTTTTTTTTTCCCTAATATTTAATCTAAACCCACGCTCCCTCAGTTTAAATCTGTTACCCCTTGTTCTACCACTACATGCTCTCTCCAACTCTCTTGCAGCCCTCTTTAGGGTACTGGAAGGTGCTCTAAGAGCATCTGCCCCAGAGCCTTCCCTTCCCTGGGCTGAACAACCCCAGTTCTCTCAACTTGTGCTCCACCAATAAGAGAGGTGCTCCACCCCCCATAATTGTTCACAGAACAGCAGTACCATATGTAGGGGGCAGAATCACTGCTTGGGAATGAAACTTTCTGCT